CAATAAAAAATATTTTCCAACATGGCATATTGGGCGGAGCAGTTTCCCTCCACATAATAGGTGGGTCTCACAAGACTTCTTTTCCCACTCTTCTTTTTTATCTTTGACTATTCAACACCTTTTTAATATAATATAAAAACCCTAAAACCTTTGTTTGCAAGTGTGTCAATGAAAAAGTACTTTTGCGGACTTTAATAGTCAATTTGAGGTTTTTATTGTTTGGTGTATTCTTTTAAACAACTTTTTTTCATGTTTATATGTAGATTCAGCAGTATATAGTTATTACGTGGTTTTATTTGGGTTATTGAATTATGTTAATATTTTTCATGATTTTTGATTTTATTTTCTAATTTAAACTTTTTTGTCTTGATTACACATAATTTCTTTATTTTTGTTTTGTTAATTTATTTAAATTATTATCTTTTTTTTATTCTTTATCACTTATTCTCTCTTGTATTTCATTGGATTTGTTATTTATGTATCTGTTTTCCATCGACTTTATTTTAGGCACTTTTGGATTATCTTTTATTTGGTTTGAAGTTTGTTCTGTATAGACAAAGCAAACTTGGTTTATGCAGTTTCAGTATTTTTGGACTTTATTTTAGACACTTTTGGATTGTCTTCTGTTTGGTTTGGAGTTTGTCCTATACAGACAAAGCAAACTTGGTTTTATGTAGTTTCAATATGGTTTAAGTGGAAATTAAAGTGTTATATGTGCATTTCAGTTGAGTTTTCCAATATAAAATATGATAAAGTTTGGGGTATGCCCGGCCTTGAGTTTTCCAGTATGTCTTTTTTTTTTTTTTTCTGTATGAAGTTGCAGTTTCAGAATTTCAGTATATTAGAGGTTTCTTTCCCCCTGTTTTCCTTTGTCATTTTGGCAGAGTTTCCTTTGCCTTTGTCTATTTCCCCCTGTTTTCCAATAATATGTTCTGTATCAAGATGACAATAGACATAATTTTCATTGCTAGCATTAAATGGATTACAATCAAATGGCCATTTCCATAATGGCAAATATACAAACACATAATCACCATTTACCTAAAACAATCATGACCATTATCCTACAACATCACAAAAGAAGCCATTCAACCATTATCCTAATAAGATTTTCAAACATATCACTTATACCAAATAAAAAAAACAATTAGCACTAGACAACACTAGACTGTAGAAGAAAAGTCTGTAGCAATCAGAGGAAAAGAAGAACAATTTTTTGTTTCCTTTCTCTGCAACAATCAAACCTAAACTAGCATTACTATAAAGATTAAATTCAAAGTGATGGAGACGGGATCGGTTGTGGGTGCTTCTGTGGTCATCGGGTGGGCTTTTGTTAGTGGCAGAGAGACGCTAAGATGAAAACACGAGATTCAACCCCAGTGTCTTCACAACCAATTTCTCGAATATCAATTCAGAAATGGCTGTCAGGTTTTCCCTTTCGGACATGCCCAATTTGCATAACATTGCTCTCCACCTCTACCTCCTTTACCGGAACCATGATGCTCTTCCGCTCCATGACCAGCAACCTCATTCCTGAGCCACTCAGATCTCACCTTTACTCTTTATTTCACTCCCTCTTCACTCCTCTCTCTTCCAACCTCATTCTCGACATCAACGAATTGCCAGCATGTCAAGGAACGATTCTATGACGCCACCAAACTCCATCTCGCCACCAAGAACAGCCCCAAAACAGAGCGGCTCAAGCTCAGCAAAACCCAGAAACAAAAATGAAGAAGTCATCCATAATTTTGAGGGAATTCAGTTGAAATGGAAGTATATCTGTATAGAGCCTTAGAAGATCTTGCAGGGAGAGAGGTAGGCTGTTAGGCGAAGAAGTTCCAAGGATTGGGTAGGCTGCTATTGGGTGGAGAAGAAGATCTTGCAGGAAGAGAGGTAGATTGAAAATTCTAGGGATTTCACCCCCAAATCGTGAAATAGGAAAGAAGAAGAGAGATGGGAGAAAAAGGAGCCATGGGATCACACATGCCACGTAGGAATATAAGTTTTTTACAATCAGCTTTATGGGTATAGTTGGCATGCCACGTATTGACGGAGTAACAAACCGCAACGAACAATCAAGTGAGAATTGACGGATGTTAAGATTCCATCCAATTGGGTACTAATTTGAGAGTTTACATGAGTTCAAGACCTTAATTGAGTGCAATATATGTTAAGGACCTCAATTGAGAATTTACTAAAAGTTAGGGTCCTTTTCCCATACTTAAGCCTAAAATTAATCCATCCGTCCTAATCGGACGGTCTTTAAATGATCCCAAAATCCACGACTACAGTGAGCACAGTAGGAATCAGAACACCTATTCACTCTCCCAATTAAAAGCCCGCCAAAAACTAACAGATTCTCCGAAATATCCGTAACCTTCTCCGTTCACGCTTTCCATTGTTCATCAACCATGGAAATATTTTCTCTCAGATCTCCGTTTCTGATTGTCCTCCTTATCATCACCACCGTCACCACCGCCGCCGCCGAAGTAAACCTTCAAGAACTCGATGCGGCCTTCTTCAGTCTCCGAATCCGTGGCTATACTCTCTTCCCTAACGCCATAGCCACATCGGATGTCCTTCTCCGCCTTCTCTCGGCCGGCGCCTCAACATCAGCAAACTGCTCCTTCACCCTCTTCTCTCCTACCGACTCCCACCTCTTCTCCCTCGACTTCTCTTCCTCCGCCTCGCTCTACACTCGGACTCTCCTCCTCCATGTATCTCCCTGCCGGCTATCCGCGTCAGATCTCTGTTCCCTCTCCCGCCCTCAAATCGACTCCCTTCTTCCTAACCACGGTCTCAAGATCGGAACACTTCTGGCGTCTAAAAACGGCTGTATTCCAGGCTCGCTTACTGTGAACGGTGTGCATGTCTCGAAGCCTGATATTTTTCTCGGATCGGATATCGTCGTCCATGGACTTGATGGGTTACTTGCCGTCGTTGGATCCAGATTCAGGGTCAATGACGATAGTTCAGGTGAGCTTGTGCAAGTTTCACCATCGAGCTGGTGTGGGATGTGTGCTTCCTCAACGAAATCACCGGAAACGTCGCCAACAGCTGGGAGTAGAAGGCCAAAACCGACGCCAGATACGACAAGGCACCATTACCTGAGAAGTGGTTCAGGTGAGCTTGAGCCAGTTTCACCATCGACCTGGTCTGAGATGTGTGCTTCCCCAACGAAGTCACTGGAAAGTTCGACTCCAGCAGAAAGTAGAAGGCCAAATTCAACGCCAGATACGATCGATCACCATTACCAAAAAATTGGTGCTGGTGAGCCCGACGCTATTTCACCTTCGAGCTCTTGTGAGATGTGTGCTTCCCCAGTGAAGTCACCAGAGAGTTCGCCTCCAGAAGGGAGTAGAAGGCCAAAATCAACGACGCCGCCAGATACGACGGACGACTATTACCAGGGAAGTAATAGAAAAAAATTGCATGATGATGATTATGGTAACTATGGGAATACACATTTGCACGACAGTTTTTTCAAGTACAACCCCCATTTTCCTCTCTGATCATTTGGCCTTGAAATTGAGAGATTGATGGTCGATATATAGAGCCGGGCTTCCTCTGTCTTTAGTTCCACGGAAATTTCCAATCTTCTTTCTCGGCAACCAAACAGAGGTAGTCAGAATTCTTATAAATAATAGTTTCAATTACGTACATTTTCAATTCTGGTTAAATCTTACCTTCTGAACAATAGAAATCCCAAGAAACTGTTAATAATTCTCCATTTTGATGTTGAGGAATTTCATCTGTAAATAAACCGGTTTGTCTGTTTTCAGATGATGGTTTTATAGTTGGCTTGATATCATTTTATGTTTGCAGAAAAATGGGCGTTATCCCTTGACACCCTCTAACAGTCTGTTATACAATTTAAACTTAATACCTCTTACTAACACTAAGGGTTCGCTCGATATTAATCATTATGAGAAAATTAATTAAATCATAGTCTGAGCTGCATATTGTGCTAGTTTTATTTATTTATATATAAACGGTAAAGTAATTAATCGAAATAATCATGATCTACGGTACCTTCTCTAAATCAACACTCTGGCGTTTACCAGAGAGGCAGGGTAGGAGGAGAGGAACCGCGCGGCCGCCGAATCACAATAGTTTCTGAGAATGTTCCCCTCTTCAACAGTGAAACCGAGTGAGGTGAGCATGGCGGGCCAGGGCCAGCAATTAAAAGAGTAATAATCTTAATAGCATGGCAACAGTCAGGAGCAATCCTAGTCTCCCCCATTGAGGAAAAAGAAAACGATCTCATTGGTACACGATTTGAGCTCCACTAGCGCGTTCCAGCGCCCCCATAAGGCTGTCACCGCTAGATTCGAGCCTTGCGGCGAGACCTTGGCCTTGCTTGATGGAGAGGTCCCTGCTTGTTGTAGTTACAGAAGTTAAGAGGACTGAGACGAGGACCAAGAAGACCAGGCAGGCGTTTCCGATTGGAGCCATGTGGGTGAATGTAGGTGAATTGGTGTGGGTGAAGAAAAGCCGAGGAGTTTGGACGATGATTAATATAAATAGGAGAGGACGTGGGAGATGAGAAGACTGCAAATAAAAAGATACAAAGATGTT